ATATATATATATATATATATATATATATATATACATATAAAGAATCTTTCAAAAATAATTATTATATACTAAAAGAATGATACATTCTTTTTTTTCGTTTTTAGAACTATTTTATTGAAAAATATAATCTGTCTCAAAGGACATTTATAATAGTGGTCAGAGATCACATTCACAGTCTATGTACAATAAATAAAAATAAATTAAACAGAAAAATAATATATATATTTGCAATAAATAAGAATAAAATAAATTAAAAATAAATAAATAAAATGTACACACACATACCTACATACATTATTTACAATCAGGCGAGGGAACTCCGAGCCAGATTTGTCCCTCCAACTGAGGAGGTAAAGCCATGACTTCAAGAGATCCCTGAACTACTCTCTCAACCGCGTCAGTGGGGTCTAAACCCATTGGAGATTGAGCGAGAAAGAATAATAAAGTAATATATAATGTCATCTTTAATTTTTTTAAATATCAGAATGAAATTTAAGGAATCTTGGTTTTGAACAAGAAGTTTGTTTGAGGCGTACTGCTGAATTCGTAACGTATCGGAATATTTCTCCAGTGATTCTCTTACTGGAATATCCGATGTAATGGGGTAGTTTAACAAGGATTCTGATAAAAAATCAAATTTTAAGACGAATTTACATAAGATATTTCCTTGATCTGTTGTATTCATCACAATATGCACGTTTATTACTCAAAGTTTCCAAATTTCTCTGAAGGCTAGTATTTTGTTAAGGAAAAATATTAAAATAAACACTGTATAGAATCAAAAATACTTTGAAATGAGCTTATGTCCTTTCCACACTTGGCGCCATGGTGTCAATTGCAAATATGGGAAAATGCCAGAAGTATTATTTAAAATTAAATTTAATTCTGTTGTAGTTAATAAATAAATTAACTTCGGAACTCTTATAATAATTATGTTTATTGCTACTCATTACTGTCAACAAGCGTAATTTATTCTAATTCGAGAAAATTATTTCTGTATCGAACATTTTTTTATTCTTTTTTATAATCAATTTCAATATTTATTTAATAATTGCTTTAACATTTTTATTTAGACGTTTCGCAGATCTTCTTCCTTTCCCTCATTATCATAAATTTTATAATAAGATCATTAGTTATTTCATCTTTATTGTTATGACTACTATCGTAGTACAATTTTTAATTTCCATAGTCACGAGTAAATGGATTATCAAATGATTAACTTGAATTATAATTTCATAATTGAAATCAATTCCGTTGAAAACACATTCCGTTTGAAGTAAATCAGTTTACTTTCATCCAACATAATTTATTAAATTTAATTTTAAATAATACTTTCCCATATTTACAATCGTTACCATGGCGCCAAGTGTGGAAAGCTCGTTTTAAAGTATTTTTGATTCTATACATTGTTTATTTTAGTACTTTTCTTTGAAAAAATAAAATAAAAAAAATACTCGCCTTCAGAGAAATTTGAAAACTTTGAGTATAAAATTTGAAAATTTTGCGATAAATACAACAGATCAAGGTAATATCTTATGTGAATTCGTCTTAGAATCTGATTTTTTATCAGAATCATTGTTAAATTACCCCCATTCCATGGGTGTTCCAGTATTATAATCACTGGAGAAATATTCCGATACGTTACGAATTCAGCAGTACTCCTCAAACAAATTTCTAGTTCAAAATCATTCTGATGTTTTAAAAATTTAAAGGAGGCATTATGCATTACTTTATTATTCTTTCTCCGACGAAGATCAAAGAAGAACCCGACAGTCTATTGTTTTGTTAAATAAATCAAACAAACCTGAATTATGAACATGATTTCCCTTGTTCATAACAGTGATGGATTAATTATATGAATCAGAAACGTATGTCAGACAGGAATTCCAATTAGGAAGGTTTCGTCAGATATGTGGTTAAGGTAGTGTTATAGCTTTCAAATATGTCACGTTACAAACCCTACAATATGATCTAACCTATTCTTTATTATGTAAAACATAGAATTAATAAAACTGATTTAGACATTATATTAAAGCAAGAACATTATATCAAAGCAAGGATTATTTCTGTATCGAACATTTTTTTATTCTTTTTTATAATCAATTTCAATATTTATTTAATAATTGCTTTAACATTTTTATTTAGACGTTTCGAAGATCTTCTTCCTTTCCCTCATTATCATAAATTTTATAATAAGATCATTAGTTATCAAGGAGATGGTCCGTGATGGCGGTCATAAATAGACTTAATAGTGGCAAAGCTATTTTATTAATAAAGAAGAGAAGAATAGTTGGGGTGGTCAGTCAAAAAGGAAGGCAAAAATAAATGTTAATATTTATTTTTTACATATGCCGACGTTTCGACCTGAAGTTCAGGCCTTCATCAGGGCTAAGAAAATAACCAGATAACAAGGTATGTGAGAAACATAAGTAATGATGGTAAAAAAGATAATAAAAAATAAGAAAATTAGAAAAAATAAAATAGATAAATATAAAGTAAAATGAAATTGTTAGAATAATGACTAAGAGCTAAGAGATAAATAATAAAAACCGTTACAAAGTGTGGAATGATGAAGTAAGCATAATCAAAAAAGATGACAAAAGTGTTGTAAAGAAGCAACATTGTAAAGATTCTAATTTAATTTTGTGGCAATGTCATAAGAAAAGTATGTTTAGGTATGTCCTTAGACTACATTAGAGATTATCTTAAAAATGATTAATTCTTGAAATATCTTTCAAACTTTTTTTAATTTATTTTATAAGTCAGTAATATTTATGTTTATCAACATTCATCAATCTCGGCGTGAACTTCAAATCGTTAAGAAATTTTTCCTAAGAATTTTCGTAAATTATAAAATAATGAAGGAATTTATAATTTCTGGAATCGTTAATCTACTTGGGGTTTTAGTTTACCTTTTATTCAGTTGAGTGGCTGAGAGGCCCATGAAAACAAAAGAGAGTTGAAGAGGTTTCGTCTTCTTTAAGAGCCACTAAATGTGCGGCTCCCCGACGGCTTTTCTTTTCAAAGAATCCCCCATTCCTTTATAAGCTCTTCTCTCCTCGAGTACCAGACCATTTACATGAATTACCATCCAGCGGTTGGACCAAGGAGGATACCATCGATTCCGAAAACAATCTGAATCGAGCGTGGTGGTGGGGAGTATCCGAGATTCTTCTAATTGTAAGATGTATTCATCTTATCTTATGCAATAATAGCAATTAATACGAGAAATGTATTTGTAGCCGTCTTAGAAAGTATTATTGGTATTTAGCTTGTAATAAAAATGTAATAGCTGTTTTCTTTTCTTCCTTTTTTCCTTATTTTTCTGCAAGTTTTCTAAAATTTTCTTGCAACTTTATAAGCGGTTTACTAACGATAGAAGGAAATATATCGAGGGACCGAAACTCAATATTCATAAAAAAATAAAAGAGCAAGATAGAAAATTAAATAATCAACTTACGGCAAGTAACAAAATTACGGCTCTGATGATAGAAAAAAAAAACTTCTGAAAAAATATTGTTTCAAATCCTAACGCCATAAAATAAAAAATGTAGTGTGTCCACTCACACGACTTTCCTACCAATTTCAGAAAAGTATTTATATCTTTACATATGTCCATCAAGAAACAAAAACAAATAGATTTATTTTCCTGAAAATTGATCAAATAAAAGATTTGAGTACGATTTATTTGATAAACTAATTCAATGTAAACCGGCTTAAGGTAGATCAGTGTAAACATTTTAATACCCTTTAATGTTGCTGATCAAAAACTTTTTGCCATAGTCTAATTTTGTCAAACAATAATTTCTGTTAAATGTTGCGGAAATAGTAAAGCTTGTGTAATGCGGGCAAGAGATTTTCTTACTTTCAATTAGTTGTCTTTTTTCTCTCATTCAACTCTTTCTGACACCAAGATATGAACCCGTAATCTTACATTGGAAGTAGCTTCGTTAATAGTTGTCCGATATAAACCGAATTTTTATATAGTTTTGTAAGGGATTTCATTACCTTTAAAAAAACTGGCTAAACGTTGTTTTTTCTTTGGGGATCCATATACTACTTAATATGTCCAAATTGTGGAAAATTGGAGGAACTTTGTGTTCAACTGTGTAATCTGAAGGTATTTCTGCCCCACGCAAACGACCACAGCTTGTTATCTATGCAATCAATCAATCTATTGTTATTGATTAATATGACCGGCTACTCGATATATTCTCAATTGACACGGTCTATGGCGGTACATGGCCTTCAATTATATCTGTTATATATATATGTTAACATAATCGGCTCTTCCGGATGTGACCGAGTATCGCCGATTTCTCCGAAGAGCTCGTTATCTTATTGACCAAGACAGTGAAAATTCTCGAAGGATGGAGCTGTTGTAAGATTGAAATGTCATTTAAACTTTTCTCCAAGGTTTTCGAAACTTTATAAAACAGTCATTCATCAATCCGATGTTCCAATCTTACTAACTAAAACCGTTTTAATTTCCCTATTTCAAATATATAATCCTACATTTCTAATCATCAATCTATGTTATCCATTATTCATTTTAAGTACCATTTCATTTTCATTTCATTTCAAAGGATAAAAAGATTTTACACCTTCACTCCCTATGAAAATGAGGTAAATTATTGATAACGATTCTATACTGAAATTCAACAATCCGCATGAAATAAACTAACATTCCAAGATTAGGGAATCACTTATCTTTAATGTTAGATATAAATTAATTAGATATAAAAGATGGACTAGAAAATAATTAAACTTGCAGATGGCGTCGAAGTATCATTTACTATTTAATAAGATAACCTGATCCTCGATTGCTCTCAGAAATCTCAGTGTATCGGGAAAGATACTTCCTTTAACCAGCCAACCAGTAGACGATGTTTTATCTATTTCCGTTTGCTATGAAACTGGTGAAAAAATCTTCCGTGCAAAGTGTTCAAAGAGTGCAAAAAATCTACTTCCATTCTTCCAGTCGGTCGTTGTCTGTGGTAATGAAGGATGCATTAACTTCTTGGGTATCTAATTGTAATGCAGTGTGGGCATGGTCGAGATTGCACATTATCTTATGGAAAGGTATCTCGCTTTGTTTGAAGTAATAAATGTAATAAGTAATAACTCTCACCTTCCTTTCTTGTGAGATAAAGCCTTGCTGAAGATGCAGTCAAACGGTGCATTCTGGACTCCTACCATACTCGTCCTTATCAATCTATCCAATTCCTGAAACAAAGTTTCCATTTTACCACGCATAGAATTGAGCATTTCTCAATACCAAATGACGTAATATGTATTGAGTCTCTAAAATGGGTTACTACATTTACCATAGCCTGTAACTGAGTTTATTCTTTGCGTAAATCTTCATCATCCATGTTAAAGTTCTGATTACTGAAATCAATTCATTAAATTTTATTTTGTATTAATTCTCTTCACAATTTAACAAAGCTGTTGCCAGACAAAATCAAAGGGGGCTGAGGCAGTCTCCCTGAACAGGATAGATTATGTTCTATCCTTTATCTTGTTTTCCAACTGTTTGTCAATTTCATATTTTATATCCAATATTTTAATAGCTGTGAGGGACCGAGTCGTATGCCTTTCTGTATCTAATCCATGTTATAGTTGAATTTATTAATTCAAAGTCGTTTGGGCTGCAATGAAGGAGTCTATAAGCATGAGCTATTTTCACCCTTGGACTCCTATAAGCAAGGACTCCTACTCCAGTGGAATCAAATTATTGGATCTCTGAAGATATTTAATTTCACTTGAGAGAATGAAATTATTTATTTATTATTTATTATTTTTTATTATTTATTTTCATTATTATTATCTTATATCAGTGTATAATGATATCTTGGACTTCCCGCAGACGGAGGGAGGTGGAGGCCGCCTGCTCCTGGGCCACCTCGGGCTGACGGGGAGCCTGCTGTGCCTGCTCACCCTGCTGACGGGACTGCCGCTGCCCTGCTACATCACGGGCAGCCTCTTCGCGCTGCTGCACCCGCTGTCGCTGTACACCCTCTGCGGCCTCAACTGCGACCGCTACGCTGCTATTGCGGCGCCGCTGCACTACGCGCGGCTGGTAAAGCCGCGGAAGGTTCTGGTGGGCCTTGGGCTGGCCTGGCTGGTGGCCCTGGGGCTGGCGCTGCCGCCGCTCTTCATCAGCCAGTACTCCTACAGCCAAGGTCTCCTAGCCTGCAGCCCCGACCTCTCCGTGCGCGGCGGCCTCTGCTACTCCGCCATCTACACCGCCCTCACCCTGCTCCTTCCGATAGCTGTCATCATGGCCTGCAATCTAAAGGTTTGTAGTATATTTATATTAGCTAAATAGTTGTTATTTTATATATAAATTTTATTTAAACTTTATTTTTCAAATCATACCTGTTGGGGGAGTTGACCAGCAACCAGCTAGTGTGCTGTCGGGGAGAAGAGTAGAGATTAATTCGCTGGTAGACGTGACAGAATGAAGTTCCCCGTGGCGTCCCTAATTAAACCTAAATTTAACAATGTATTTAACTAATTAATTAATTAACTAATTGACTAATTGACTTGACAGAACTGGAAAGTAATTCCGAATTAGTAGAGCTTTATGAGGATGCTGACGTGGTTCACCTCAGATGGGCTGGGCATGTCATTAGGATCTCTGAGGGTTAGGTCCCAAAAATCATTCTATTGGAAAAGAAGGAAAGAAAACCAAGGTTGAGGTGGATGGATGGGGTAGCTGCGAATGCCCATCCATGCACAGATGCAAGATGAAGCACAGGTATGCCTGAGGGTCTCCACGCGGGATGTACGAGAAGAAGAAGAACTGGAAATTTATTCATATATTCTTAAATTGAGGCTCGATATTTAGAGTCTTTTTTTCTTAGAGGAAAGTGGTAAAAAGTTTATTTTGAGGTGGTGTGTAGAAATCCCCCGCTCTGATGAATTCAGCTATTACAATTATTACAATACAATTGCAATAATGTTTTAAAATTAAAGATGAAGTATGTTAACGAAAATTTTCACGAGATGTGTAATTTAAAATGCTATGTGAGGGTTTTAGAATGCTATAAACAGCTGTCACTCTGGAATCGCTCTGCGCCTATAGCTTTCGAGGGGAATTTAGAGATAAATAGTAATTCTACAGTGATTATTGTATAGAACACTATCAGAGCCCCTAAATATTAATAATGATTCAGCGATTTTCAGTAAATTGCCAATTTTTAATATTATAAAGAAGTTTCTATCATCGTCCTAGTGTTTCAATGTAGGGCTTATTATGGAACTCTCATAGTAATTCCATTAAATCCATAGAGTTGAAAATAATATCCAACTACAAATGACATTACTTTTAATGAACTACTGATGTACCTGAAAATATATTTTATAATGCATATTGATGTGCCACTAATACCTATGGTATACCTTTAATATTTACATGTATAAATACGTTTACGTTGACTTATATAGAGATTTAGATTTATATAATAACGGAAAAATATCTGTAAAATCTCGGAATTTGCACAAAAGGTTATAGTTGCACTAACTTTTGAAGTAAAATATTTTTTTAAAGATAATTTAATGTTCAATGACTTTCTTTCACTTAATGATAACATAAGAAGGCGATGGAAAAATTATTCTTTCGAAATATGTAAATCATGAAGACGATATCCCGGAAACTATACAAAATATATTTGTATGAAGAAATGAATATAATCAATTCTGTTGCAATTTTTGTCAGCTTTAATTTTACATAGAAGATTATGATCGGTGGAACGCCTAGTTGCCCTGATGAGATAATCAGAAGGCGAGAAGCCAAATAAATTGAACTTTAATTCAAATTTTCGACTTGAAATTCTCGGATATGGGATAATCGTCAATTTATGTTTTAAGACTTTAAATACTATAAATCTAAAGGGTTGATGATAACTTTACTTTTTCCAGTTAAATGAAAACGTCAAATTAGTCCGCTTTCCTCTTCAACCACATTTCTGCGACCTCTGTTGTGCTATCCATTATCCATCCTTCGATTGTCTTTTTTTCTCCTTTTAGGTGTATACAATGGCCACCTTTCATCTGCCATCAGTGCGACATGTCCTGCTCATTGTCATTTTATTTTTAAAATCGCTTCTGTAAAGTCTTTAGAATTTGTTCTGTACCTTATCTTCTCATTTTTTGTTCTATCAATTTTGTATTCAGTATATTCCTCTCCCTTTTTTCTCTGAGCATTGATTGAACACCTTGAAATTTATACGTTTCGTATTATTTCTGAAAACGTTTTATTTACATTAAAGGTTAAATTGATTATCACAATTATTAATATCCTTTTCACCACCTTTTATGTGTAATAAAATAATTTTGAATTCTTTCCATTGCTTTGGCAACCTATTTTCTTTTGATTTTACTAAATACACACTCTAGGGTAATGATAATTAAATTTATCATAGTTAATCTCACCTGTAAGATTATCTATATGAGTTTTAATTTTTTTGTAATTTTAGGACCGAAGGGGGTATTAAGTTATATTTCCTCCAATTAGCAGATCTTGATATAAATAATTATATTAAATGTTTATCGCATCGTTTTATTATGGTAAGGACTCATCATTTAAACGTTAACAATAAAATGAAGATCTGTATAAAATTTAATTACCCTCTTCTTCATATATACCAGGCATGGACAAAAAGTATTTTAATTAATATTTTAAAATACCAAATATTTTAAATATATAGTAAATTTTAGTTACAAGCAATTTAAAATGTTTTTAGAAAACGTTTCCAAAAATTATTTTGTATTTTAATTACAAAAAACAAATTACAAATACTTTACAAAAGTACAATACAAAAAACATATTTCATTTTAAAATATTGTATTTATAGTCCCCACGTCTCAAATATACGTATAGTTTGCGATTGATGTTTCATTTTGTATTTTAATTACAAAAAACAAAGTACAAATACTAAATAAATACGTCTCATGAAGTGTAGGTTTCATCCGAAATCCTTAAAAAATAGGTTTATTCTGATGTGATAAGGATTTTGAGATCATTAGACAGTGAATATACTTTAAAATAATTATTTTTGAACGATTTATTACAATGACTTTTCATTTTCATGAAACGATTTATAATAAAAATGATCCTCCCTTTTTCTTTACTGAAAATTACATATTATTACATATTAAAATATTATTATAGAGGAAAAAAAAACATATTCCCACCCCCATTCCCTCCTCCTCTCTCGGAAATAAACATCTGTCGGTCTACATTTACTTGTTTTCACAAAATATCCTCTTTCACCCTGGAGTCCTTAATAGTTTTTGTAAGGTTGATATATTTTATGAGCAAAGACAATTTTATTTCAAATTTAACATATCTTACAAACTTGAATAAAATTTACTAATCTATCTTGAAACATTTCTTACCTCCATTTCGAGAGAGAAGAATTATCGTGAAAACAATCAACTCTGCTAGAACACTTAAAGGAAACTGTTCAATGCGGTCATTTATTTTGTGTATTTAAAATAAAAGATTAAATTTACTATCATGGAAAGAAAATACTACTACTTTTTTTTTAATGAAAATTCTGTCACAATTGATTATATATTTTCATCCTTAAAATGCCAAATATAAAAAATATATTTTATTCTAAAATATTATATTTATAGTATTGCCCACGTCTGAATTACACTTATAGTTGGCGATTGATGTATCATACTGAAATCAACATTTGTCAACATTGGACAACTGTTGATATTTTCAAATATCAACAGTTGTCCGCTAGAATCTAAATCAAGACCGTTGGCTTTAACTATATCAACCCATTGTTGGTATTCTCGGGCTGCTTCCCATTGCTCCAGGGAGACGCCTGAAACAATATCTTAACTCATTTAAATAATAAACTTCCGTTGATTAATAGGGAGGAGTACAATTGGAGATCTGAGCGGACTTGGCTTTCGACACTGGAAGCACAATGCCCACCCCTTTAATTATATATTATCTGATTCCCTCTTATCCGAATCCTCTGGGATCTGGAAGATGAGATGGCTCGCCACTAAATGAGTTGCCGTAATTCCATAGCATATAGTTGGTGTCTACTTGTAGTAGTCACTAATCCATGGTCAGCAATGTCTAAGACTAACTAGTTTTCCGTAATTAGTTGCTCAATCACTCTAAATAAATATTTTTTGTAATAAATAACTTAAATAATTCTCTTAAAGTGCTTCGGAGCTTTGAACAGTGAGGGCGAACTACAATTTTCGAATTTCTACATACTGTCTAAAATTTAAAATAGTGAGTTTATATGAAAAATAAACATATTTTTCCGTTTGCATTATAATTTATAATTATACAACATATATTGAATACTTCATGGTTGACCGTTGTATATTTTAGTATAGTGTATTATATTATAATATTGTATATTTTAGTTGTAGTAAAAATAAAACAAAAAACAGGAATATTACAGTATCTAAAATTTGAAAATATTGATGGATACAAGAAAAAATACAATATCTATGAACTAATTAATTATAAATATATACATATACATACAAGACAGAATTAATAAATTATAGATAAAAGTACGATGTAAATAAAAAATAAAAATGAAAGACCGTACATAGAAGTAAAATGTAAATATACACATAAAAATGAGACAAAATAAATTGCAGAACTAATATAAAAGTAAAAAAAGGAATTTAGTATAAATAATTAGAGTTATAATTAGTTGTATATATTGTAAGAAAATTACATCTAAATACAAGATTCTTGTTTTGGGTTTTCTCCTCATGTATGTTTCCCCAGTTTCAACTTAAACTCCATGTTGCAAACACCCGTAATCTCTATTTGTATTTTTTTATTTATTTATTTTTTGTTTCTTCACTTTCCCTTTATATCCATTATTTCTTATCATTTTTCCTTTTTCTTTTTTCTTTCAATCGTTCCTTATGATATGTAGGATTATTACACTCAATTTTTCTCCTTCTATAATAAGTGTTACCATTTATTTACTTCAGTTTAGGATCCTGTTACTTAGTTATACTTCGTTTACTCTGTTTATATATTTTATTGTTATTAATATTTATATGTACTTCCTATTCACACTATTTATAATTGTAATCAGCTTACTAACATTTTTATCTAAATATTATGTAACTTTCACAATGATTATTCAAGATAATAATCATATAAGATAATAATAAAATCCAGCATACGAGGTCCGACTTTTAATTGGTTGAATATCCATTTAACGGGATCAAATTTTCATGCGTGTTGGGAATCTCACGAAGGAACGC